CCAGAACACCGCTCCCAGGCCACATTTTGAATGCCCGGAGCCAACTGTAGGCCACTTCGTGTTCTTCGTCTTCCCAGAACACCACTCCGACGCCATATTTTGAATACCCGGAGCCAGCTGTAGGCCACTTCGTGTTCTTCGTCTTCCCAGAACACTATTCCAGTATCATATTTTGATTGCCCGGAGCCAACTGTGGGCCACTTCGTGATCTTCGTGCTCCCAGAACACAACTCCCAGGCCACATTTTGAATTCCGAAGCTGAGGCAAGCTGAGGCCGAGGCAGGCTGAGGCCGAGGCAGGCTGAGGCTGAGGCTGAGGCACGCAGGCTGAGGCTGAGGCTGACGCAAGCTGAGGCCGAGGCAGGCTGAGGCTGAGGCAGGCTGAGGCTGAGGCAGGCTGAGACTGAGGCTGAGGCAAGCTGAGGCTGAGGCTGAGGCTGATGCAGGCTCAGGCTGAGAGGCTGACGCTGAGGCAGAGGCAGGCTGAGGCTGAGGCTGAGGCTGAGGCCGAGGCTGAGGCCGAGGCAGGCTGAGGCTGAGGCTGAGGCAAGCCAAGGCAGGCTGAGGCTGAGGCTGAAGCTGAGGCAGTCTGAGGCTGAGGCTGAGGCTGTGGCTGAGGCTGAGGCAAGCTGCGGCTGAGGCAGGCTGAGGCTGAGCTGAGGCTGTGGCTGCGCTGAGGCTGAGGCTGAGGCTGAGGTCAGGCTGAGGCTGAGGTGAGGCCGAGGCAGACTGAGGCTTTGGCAGGCTGAGGCTGAGGCTGAGGCTGAGGCTGAGGCTGAGGCTGAAGGCAGGCTGAGGCTGGGGCTGAGGCAGGCTGAGGCTGAGGCAGGCTGAGGCTGAGGCTGAGGCAGGCTGAGGCTGAGGCAGGCTGAGGCTGAGGCCGAGGCAGGCTCAGGCCGAGACAGGCTGAGGCTGAGACTGAGGCTGAGGCTGAGGATGAGGCCGAGGCAGGCCGAAGCTGAGACAATGTAAGGCTGAAGTCGGGGGGGGAAGGGGGGGGAGGAGGGGAGGCTGAGGCAGGCTGAGGCCGAGGCAGGCTGAGGCCGAGGCAGGCTGAGGCTGAGGCTGAGGCAAGCCGAGGCAGGCTTAGGCTGAGGCTGAGGCTGAGGCTGAGGCTGAGGCAAGCTGAGGCTGAGGCAGGCTGAGGCTGAGGCCGAGGCAGGCTGAGGCCGAGGCAGGCTGAGGCTGAGGCTGAGGCAGGCTGAGGCTGAGGCCGAGGCAGGCAGAGGCTGAGGCTGAGGCAAGCCGAGGCAGGCTGAGGCTGAGGCTGAAACTGAGGGAGGCTGAGGCATCCGTAGGAATCCATCGGAATCCCTAGGAATCCTTAGGAATCCGTAGGCATCCTTAGGAATCCGTAGGCATAGTTAAGCATCCTCAGGAATCCTTAGGAATCCTTAGGATTCCTCAAGAATCCTTTGGAATCCCTAGGAACCCCTAGGAATCAGGATTCCGAAGGATTCCTAAGGTTTCCTAAGGATTCCTATGACTTCCTAAGGATGCCTAAGGATGCCTTAGGAATCCCTAGGAATCCTTAGGATTCCATTGGATCCTAAGGCCGTTGCCACTACGACTGTCATTGCGAATGCGACTGCGACTGCGAGAACAGCAGAATTCTACAACTGGATGTTCACCTGAATCTTAAGGGGAATGCTTCCAAATATGCTTATACACATCGCTGTTAGGTTGCTTTGCCGGGATAATTAAATCTTCCTCCTGTAGAGGGACACGCCCGACTTAAGACTACAGTCAAAGAGTCTGATCAGGACGCACGAGAAGGATGCAAGGGCCTTGGGAGGCCATGCCGACACCTCTCTAGCTGGGCGGGGCCAGCGACAGTGACCCAGGATGAGCCGCATGGAAAGGCTGCACGGACAACCTCGGAGAGTTGCTCATCCTTACTACGCGCTTTGACTGCGAGGGCTTTTGGAACCCGAAGAAGCGGCAACTACGCAGGATTAGGCCGAACTAAGTAGGCCGGAATGATCCCAAGGCGGGAGTCGCCCGCACTGAACGGGATTATGCAAAATCAAGCAGGCTTTCGACCACGGATATTCCAACGCCGACGCCGAATTCAACCTCCGGAGAATTGCATCCTGACGAATCGTCGTGCTACGTACCACAATCAGCGCCGAATACGGAACGAAGAGACTGTTCTGGCAACCGGGAGCCTCGGCCACAAATAGGCTCGACAACTGGGATCTAAGGAACGGCCCCAAAACCAGAGCCCCTCCTGAGCCCGGAGGGGCCCTTGCTTCAGCGTCTTGACTGTAGCGGGCACCGCAAGAATCCCCCCGGGTGCACACGCGCACCTCAAGATGCGAGCGTCCGGCCCAGGTAGGCGTGCAGGAGCGAAGGATACAGCGGCGGAGGGGCGCCCGTGTGTGAGACGCGGGTGAGTGGCTACCCCGAGCGAGGCGGAGCAGGTGAGAGCAACGCAGTGGACGAGATCAAAGCAGAAAAGGACAGAGGCGCAAAGAATGTCGAGGGAAGGCAGGCGGCACCTCGAGTAGAGGCGTTCGTATCGGGAGGGATCCTCGCACCCCCCGCGGCAACGAGGGATCCATCTCGCTCTCCCGCCCCACAATACGAGAAAGGTGCAGTCACAAACGACCTCCATGAGATCTCTCCCTCCCCCTCTGTATGCCTGCCTCTCGCTCTCCATCTCTTTCACTCGCTCTCCCTCTCTCCCTCTCTCTCTCCACATGTGTATATATATATACACACCATACAGCCTTCCACTCGCCCTCTCCCTCTCTCTTTGTCTCTTTCGTTTTCCTTTTTTTTCTTTCTATCTCTCTCTCTCTCTCTCTCTCTCTCTCTCCCAACGTGTGTGCGTGTGTGTGTTTATCCCGTTTCCGGCTGCCCCCGTGATCATAGATAAATAGCAAGATGCTGGCCGATCAGGGAATGCGAAAACATACGGGCAGACACATATGTCCACTCATGTACACTTGCAATGCGATTTCACATGCAGCTCGCACTACTAATTATGTCTCTCTCCCCCTCTCTCTCTCTTTCTCTCTCTCTCTCTCTTTCTCTCTCTCTCTCTTTCTCTCTCCGTATACATATACGTATGTAAAAATATAGATGTACATGTACATATATACATCTACACACATATATATATATATATAAAAAAGATCGTTAGTTCAATATTGTGTTGTACCGATATCGTCCTCTCTGAATGCATGGGGATGTGTTTGGGTATATGTACACGTGTGTGAGAGTGTATGTGGGTGGGTGTGTGTTAGCCAGCGCGGAACCCAAACAGTATGTGTATAGCCATATGTGGTGTGCACCCTTTGTTGTTGCGCAGTCTATGTGGTGCAACCGACGGCCTGCAACATATGTGTGCATATCGGAGGTGAGAGGGGTGAGATCGAAGTGGGACGGAGAGCCCCCCTACCGGGAAATCGGATTCGATTTCGTAGTCGTGCGTGCCGTGCGCGCGGGCGAGGCGAAACTGCGTGGGCGGGCGAGAAATAAGTCTCCTGTATAGCTGAGGCGCGGCCGGACCAAAAGTGTTCCTTCCGGCAACTGGTGCCCCGCGGTGTCCCGCCGGTGTCCCGCCGGTGTCCCGCTCGGGGGCCAGTGGCGCGCGGTGTCCCGCCGGTGTCCCGGCGGTGTCCCGTCGGTGTTCCGATGATGATGATGATGATGATGATGTTGATGATGTTGACGATGATAATGGTGATGGTGGTGATGATGATGGAGCCCCGATGATGATGATGATGATGTTGACGATGTTGATGATGATGCTGATGATGATAATGGTGATGGTGGTGATGACGATGGTGCCCCGATGATGGTGACGCGGGTGGTCCTGATGATGTCGAAGATGATCAGATGGTTTGGTGATGATGATGATGATGGTGATGATGATGGTATCCTGCTAATGATCATGATGTTGATGGCGCTGTGGCTGATGATGGTGTTGTTGATGATGGTGTCCCGATGGTGATGATGATAATGATGATGTTGACGATGATGGTGCCAAGATGATGATGAGGATGAAGTTGATAATGAGGATGATGATGTGGGGCTTGTAATGTTGATGATGATGGCCCAATGATTGTGATGATGATGTTGATGTTGATGATGATGATGGTGTCCCGTCGATGTCGATGATGATGACGGTGATGATGATGACGATGATGATGGTGTTCCGATGTTGGTAATGATTTTGATGATGACGTTGATCATGATGATGATGATGGTTTCCCGATGATGATGTTGATGTTGTTCATGACCATGATGATGGGTTGATGGTGATGATGGTGGTCTTCCGATGATGATGATGGTGTCCCAATGATGATGATGTTGATGATTCTGATGGTAGCGATGATGATGGTATCCCGATGATGGTGATGGTGATGATGATGTTGGTGCTGGTGGCGATGAAGTGATGATGACGATGGTGTCATGATTCTCCTGATGATGATGATGATGATGTTGATGACGCTGATGTTCATGATGACGATGATGACGTTGATTGTGATAACGATTGTGGTACCCATGGTGAAATCAATTGTTAGTCCGACTATGAGATCGATTGTGAGATCGATAGTGGGATCGACTGTGAGATCGTTTGTGATTTTGATAATCAGATCGGCTGTGAGATCGATCGAATGAAATAGATCGACTGAAATCGATTGTGGGACCGATCTAATGAAATCGATCGAACGAGACCGATAATGAGATCGATACTGGGGATAGTGAGACCGATCGAGTGAGACGTTGGTTCTTCCCCCCCCCCGAACCTCCTTATCACCCGAAGGGTGGTCGTATAGGTGTGCGTATATATATATGGTGTGTACAATGTATGATGTGAAGTATGTGTTGTGTTCTACACGCGGTGCAAAAAATGAAGCCAATACATGGTGTTCAGTCAACATGGGGCAATATATGTAGTGCAACGTGCGTGATGGGATCTATGCTGTGCGTTTGATTGTTAAACAAGAAACTGACTCATCCCATGGTCTTGCAAACCTCCCACCCACCCACCCGCGACTTGGCTTGCAAAACCCGTGCGGTAACAATTGCGATGCATGTTTGGCGTTGGCTGGTACACCCCTGCGGCCGCGCCAACCCAAAAACTCGCGCGCAACGGCCAGCTAGTTTGGCGCGACCGACGCGGTCGCGGTGGCGCTGACCGCTGGGAATATCCCAGCGGGCAATTCACTGCGAGCCGGCGACTTGGACGGGCACGGTATCATGGCAACGTCGACAACGGTAGACACGATGATGATGGTAGCGGTGCTGGTGGCGATGTCGGCGACGACGAAGGCGCGGCCAGTGCGGGCGCCGATGCTGACCACGCCAGCGACGATGACGGCGTCCTCGCGTCGGAGGTAAAGGTTTTGGAAAGGGTTCGACATGCGAGCGCCGCCGACGCGCTAGAGTGGCCCGCGTGGTATTATTCGACAGTGGTCGTGCCCCCCCAGCCCCCCCAGCACGCGCGCAAGGGCTTGCGAATGATGTCGGCATGCTGCGCGAGATGCCCGCTTGGCAGAATGCCATGAGTATTTGGAAAAACCATGGTTCTCTCACGAATTCGCAAGAGCGCGAACGCACGCCAATTTGAAAACTGAGGTTGCGAAACCATGTGTGTTTGTATGTGTTTTGGATACTCGGTTTTGGAAGCCGTTACGAATCCGAAAGATTTTGACGGATGTCGGCGCGCGAAGCCAGTTTGGTAGCATTTTCTGAAAACGTTGAAAACAAACAATGGTTTTCGCAAGAATTCGCAAGAACGCGGCGCGCACATGTTTTTTTTTTGGGGGGGGAAATCCGTGCTGCGAAACCGTGCGTTTGCATATGTTGTTTGGACACACTATGTTGAAATCATTACGAAAGCGAAGGCGTTTGAAGGATTTCGGCATGCGCGCGCGACGACGCGCGCGTGTGCACTTCGCCCAAAAAGTTGCAAGGGATGTTTGGAAACTTGTGATTCTTGTTGAACGAGCGCGCGCGCAAAATGTTTCTGTTGTCGGGTATGGCGGGGGAAACCCGTACCGGCCACCCTGGGATGGTGGGAACTCATGTTTAGACAGGACGATGGGGCAGAATGATCTACAAATTGTGCAATACGACAAGGGGGTTGGATAATCCCTGGAGGGGGGGTAGAGTCGATTCTCTGTTTAGAAAGGAGAACCTATGGCGTGCAATTAATCTTGACCGTCTTGAAGCTGTCCTCTCCACTGCTCGTGCAAACATCCCACCCGCCCACCCGCAACTTGGTCGCAAGACATCTTCAGACAAGACCGTGACGGTAGGTACTACATGGCACTTGGCCACGACACCGACGCCGACGACGACAGCGACATCGACGACGACGGCGCCGCCGACAGCGACTGCGACGACACCGACGACGTCTCCAATGTTTTCGACGACGACAACGACAACGACGACACACGACGACGACGACGACAACGACGCCGACGACGACGACGAAGACGACGACGACGTCGCCAACGGAGACGACGACGAGGGAGGAGAAAAAACGACGACGGCGACAACGACGACAACGACGATGGAGGAGGGAAGACGGCGACGACGCCAACGACGAAGAAGGAGGAAGGACGGCGACGCCGACGACGACAACGACGAGGGAGGAGGGAAGACGACGACGATGACAACGACGACGAAGACGACGACGACGGCGACGAAATAGGAGGGACGACGACGAGACGCCGACGACGGACGACGACGACGAGGGAGGAGGATAACGACGAGGGAGGAGTGAAGACCACGACGACGACGACGACGACGACGGCGACGAAATAGGAGGGACAACGACGAGACGCCGACGAAGACAACGAGGGAGGAAGGACGACCACGGTGACAACGACGACGGAAGCGACGACGATGCCAAGACGACGACGACGACGACCACGAGGAAAGACAGAAGACGACGACGGCGACGACGACGACGACGACGAGGGAGGAGGGAGGAGGACGACGACGACGACGCAAGAGCGCGCGCGTGCACACACTTTTGTTGAAAACCCGTGTTGCGAAACCTTGTGTTTTTGTACGTTTTTTGGACGCACGATTTCGAAATCCTTCCGAAACCGAAAATGTTTGAAGGATTTCGGCATACGCCCGCGACGACGCGCGCGTCTGCACTTCGTTTCACTTTTTGCAGAGCATTCTCGCGACGGCAAACGCGCAAGGGCGTTCGACAGATTTCGACACGCGCTTGCGCGAAGCCCGTTTGGTAGCATTTTGCGAAAATCTTGGGAAACCTATGGTTTCCTTTAGATTTCGCAAGGGCTCGCGCGTAAGCTTTTTTAGCAAATCAGTGTTGCGAAACCGCGTGCTTTTGTATGTGTTTGGAAATTCAATGTTGAAATCTCTCCGGAACCGATGGTTTTTAAAGGATTTCGGCATGCGCGCGCGACGGCGCGCGCGTGCGCACTTCGTCATATTTTTGCAAGGGATTCGTGAAAAAGTGCTATGTTAGAACAAAACATGTCACCGCATAGTGTTTGTTTTTACAAGGGACCCTCAGGTGGGGGGAGCCGGCCTGCC